GGAATATCAGGAAGATACTGGAAGTTAAAAATTGTCTCAAAAGTCTGCATAATTATCTTACCGTGTGAACCAGGCATTATATTGTGATTGGGGAAACTATTTAGACATAACGGGAATAAAACATCAATATTAACCTTAATATTAACTGCTCAAGGCTATAACAAATTCTATGTGAAATATCTTTCAAATAAACTGAAGTGTTAACTTTGTAAATACACTTGAGGTCTAAGTTTTAAACTGGCTTCTAAGGAAAGATTGATCTGTTGAGTTTTGGAGCTGATTAAGCCTCTTCTGTTTGAACAGCTGATCCACATCTACTCTTTCTGACTTTGTTCAAGGATGATGAAGGCCTGAAGAGGAGCAGAAGGGCTGTGCAGCCAGACGTCAAGACAATCCCTATTCCTAGGGTGGAAAGGGGTCCAAGCTTCCCAGGCAGTGTATGTTGAGTAAAGTTAATGATTTTATTYCTGTTTCTATATCTGAGCTGTCACACTAAGATGTTCAGATGGAGTTTAGAMCTGATTGCTCTACAGTAGGTCTAATAATCACACACTTCTCTGTCTGCACTCCTGAGAGCCTCAGCTTGTTTTCTTTAAATGGCTGCATTTAGGTTGCAATTTAGTTGTCCTGTTTTTTTTTTTCTGTTTTGTTTGAGCAATGATTCGATTTTTATTTGATCCACAGCTCAGCCGTTACTTCAGGTCTACAGAAGGTTTAATAAGGAGGAAGAGAGAGTTGATTGTTCCTTCCTTCTTTGTTTCTGAGAATCACAGAGGACCCTACCCTCTGAAGATTGGTCAAGTAAGAAGATTTGTTTCTCTTGGCTCAGAGTTTCATACTAAAATGCTCTTTGAACGTTACCAATATAAATATATCATTTGTACATTTTCACTGTACTGTGCTCTGTTTTTTTTTTTGTTGCCTCCCATTCAGAGGCAAGCAATAATGTATTTTTGTGTGAGTGTTTCTCTTAATGTTAGCAAATTATCTTATGAACYACAAAATGCTCCAGYAGGAGTCACTAAATGTCCAACTGATTACCTTTTGGAGACAACTCAATCCAAGATAGTCACACCAGCCAATCAGATTTAGAAAAGACAAAACTGACGATAACCAAGTCAATTTTACAGACATCGAGCTAAAACCTGGTGGTGACTGCAGAGTACAGTGGTGAGCTGTGCTGTAAGAGTGACAAATAGTTTTAGTGTGGAGTTCAGACTGGATAAAGGATCGGCTCTGAGCCCCTACTGCTTTGCTCTGGTGATGGACAGACTAACAGCATTTAGCATTTAGCATTTAG